TATGTGATGTTTTTGCTTTCATTTAAATATTGGAGAAGTTCCTGTGTAAGTCCCCCGCTTTCTGTAATATAAATAATATATAATAATTAAATGTTTTAATGACCAAAAGAAAATTTTTTTTAAAAATAATTATTTCACGGGCTAATTGGTCAGTTATTAAATAATGATATTTTTTTAAAAAAAAAATAAACTTTATTATTTAGTTTTATAAGATTTTTATTGTCCAATATTTCGACTATAATCTATAGTCATCATCGGGGAACTATACATATAAATACATTGTAATTAATATTAAGGTATACATTACATAAAAACAATAATAAATTACATTTACATTGAACCATGAAACATATATATGTATTTGGAATATATACAATATTTTCACTATAAGAATCATAAAAATAACATATATATATGAAAAATATATGTTGTTTTTAATACTTGGGAACATATATTCCCAACTCTTTGAAAAAATGAGCGTAAAATTTTCAATACAAGTTTTTAGCAGAACTGTTGTAGCTGCTATTAAAACCGTTGTAGAACAAACGTTGTTACCGTTGTTACAAAACCAATAGAACAAAATTTTTCTGACTGATATTTTGTTCGACATGCACACTCTATGTTTATATACTCTTTGACAATACTTATACAAATTTAAAAAAATATACATATATAACGAAATTTCTAAGAAATAAATATGTTAATACTTAATCGCTTACCTTCGGGCGTGACTGGGCGTGGGCGTCTTTTATCGTTTTTCCGGTATGTGATGTTTTTGCTGGCATTTAAATATTGGAGAAGTTCCTGTGTAAGTTCCCCGCTTTCTGTAATATAAATAATATATAATAATTAAATGTTTGAATGCACCAAAAAGAAATTTTTATTTAAAAATAATTTTGCACGGGCTAATTGGTCAGTTATTAAATAATGATTATTTTTAAAAAAAAAAAAAATTTTAGATTTATTTATAAGATTTTTATTGTCCAATATTTCGACTATAATCTATAGTCATCATCGGGGAACTATACATATAAATACATTGTAATTAATATTAAGGTATACATTACATAAAAACAATAATAAATTACATTTACATTGAACCATGAAACATACATATGTATTTGGAATATATACAATACTTTTACTATAAGAATCATAAAAATAACATATATATATGAAAAATAGATGTTGTTTTTAATACTTGGGAACATATATTCCCAACTCTTTGAAAAAATGAGCGTAAAATTTTCAATACAAGTTTTTAGCAGAACTGTTGTAGCTGCTATTAAAACCGTTGTAGAACAAACGTTGTTACCGTTGTTAAAAAACCAGTAGAACAAAATTTTTGTGACTGATATTTTGTTCGACATGCACACTCTATGTATTATATACTCTTTGGGACAATACTTATACAAATTTAAAAAAATATACATATATAACGAAATTTCTAAGAAATAAATATGTTAATACTTAATCGCTTGCCTTCGGGCGTGACTGGGCGTGGGCGTCTTTTATCGTTTTTCCGGTATGTGATGTTTTTGCTTTCATTTAAATATTGGAGAAGTTCCTGTGTAAGTCCCCCGCTTTCTGTAATATAAATAATATATAATAATTAAATGTTTTAATGACCAAAAGAAAATTTTTTTTAAAAATAATTATTTCACGGGCTAATTGGTCAGTTATTAAATAATGATATTTTTTTAAAAAAAAAATAAAATTTATTATTTAGTTTTATAAGATTTTTATTGTCCAATATTTCGACTATAATCTATAGTCATCATCGGGGAACTATACATATAAATACATTGTAATTAATATTAAGGTATACATTACATAAAAACAATAATAAATTACATTTACATTGAACCATGAAACATATATATGTATTTGGAATATATACAATATTTTCACTATAAGAATCATAAAAATAACATATATATATGAAAAATATATGTTGTTTTTAATACTTGGGAACATATATTCCCAACTCTTTGAAAAAATGAGCGTAAAATTTTCAATACAAGTTTTTAGCAGAACTGTTGTAGCTGCTATTAAAACCGTTGTAGAACAAACGTTGTTACCGTTGTTACAAAACCAATAGAACAAAATTTTTCTGACTGATATTTTGTTCGACATGCACACTCTATGTTTATATACTCTTTGACAATACTTATACAAATTTAAAAAAATATACATATATAACGAAATTTCTAAGAAATAAATATGTTAATACTTAATCGCTTACCTTCGGGCGTGACTGGGCGTGACTGGGCGTGGGCGTCTTTTATCGTTTTTCCGGTATGTGATGTTTTTGCTTTCATTTAAATATTGGAGAAGTTCCTGTGTAAGTCCCCCGCTTTCTGTAATATAAATAATATATAATAATTAAATGTTTTAATGACCAAAAGAAAATTTTTTTTAAAAATAATTATTTCACGGGCTAATTGGTCAGTTATTAAATAATGATATTTTTAAAAAAAAAAAATAAAATTTATTATTTAGTTTTATAAGATTTTTATTGTCCAATATTTCGACTATAATCTATAGTCATCATCGCGGAACTATACATATAAATACATTGTAATTAATATTAAGGTATACATTACATAAAAACAATAATAAATTACATTTACATTGAACCATGAAACATACATATGTATTTGGAATATATACAATACTTTCACTATAAGAATCATAAAAATAACATATATATATGAAAAATATATGTTGTTTTTAATTTGGGAACATATATTCCCAACTCTTTGAAAAAATGAGCGTAAAATTTTCAATACAAGTTTTTAGCAGAACTGTTGTAGCTGCTATTAAAACCGTTGTAGAACAAACGTTGTTACCGTTGTTACAAAACCAGTAGAACAAAATTTTTGTGACTGATATTTTGTTCGACATGCACACTCTATGTTTATATACTCTTTGACAATACTTATACAAATTTAAAAAAATATACATATGTAACGAAATTTCTAAGAAATAAATATGTTAATACTTAATCACTTACCTTCGGGCGTGACTGGGCGTGGGCGTCTTTTATCGTTTTTCCGGTATGTGATGTTTTTGCTGGCATTTAAATATTGGAGAAGTCCTGTGTAAGTCCCCCGCTTTTGTGTATTAAATAATATAATATTAATTAAATGTTTTAATGACCAAAAGAAATTTTTTAAAAATAATTATTTCACGGGCTAAATAATGATATTTTTTTAAAAAACCAAAAAAATTTATTATTTAGTTTTATAAGATTTTTATTGTCCAATATTTCGACTATAATCTATAGTCATCATCTGGCAACTATACATATAAATACATTGTAATTAATATTAAGATATACATTACATAAACAATAATATATTACATTTACATTGAACCATGAAACATACATATGTATTTGGAATATATACAATACTTTTACTATAAGAATCATAAAAATAACATATATATATGAAAAATATATGTTGTTTTTAATACTTGGGAACATATATTCCCAACTCTTTGAAAAAATGAGCGTAAAATTTTCAATACAAGTTTTTAGCAGAACTGTTGTAGCTGCTATTAAAACCGTTGTAGAACAAACGTTGTTACCGTTGTTACAAAACCAATAGAACAAAATTTTTCTGACTGATATTTTGTTCGACATGCACACTCTATGTTTATATACTCTTTGACAATACTTATACAAATTTAAAAAAATATACATATATAACGAAATTTCTAAGAAATAAATATGTTAATACTTAATCGCTTACCTTCGGGCGTGACTGGGCGTGGGCGTCTTTTATCGTTTTTCCGGTATGTGATGTTTTTGCTTTCATTTAAATATTGGAGAAGTTCCTGTGTAAGTCCCCCGCTTTCTGTAATATAAATAATATATAATAATTAAATGTTTTAATGACCAAAAGAAAATTTTTTTTAAAAAAAATTATTTCACGGGCTAATTGGTCAGTTATTAAATAATGATATTTTTTTAAAAAAAAAATAAAATTTATTATTTAGTTTTATAAGATTTTTATTGTCCAATATTTCGACTATAATCTATAGTCATCATCGCGGAACTATACATATAAATACATTGTAATTAATATTAAGGTATACATTACATAAAAACAATAATAAATTACATTTACATTGAACCATGAAACATATATATGTATTTGGAATATATACAATACTTTCACTATAAGAATCATAAAAATAACATATATATATGAAAAATATATGTTGTTTTTAATACTTGGGAACATATATTCCCAACTCTTTGAAAAAATGAGCGTAAAATTTTCAATACAAGTTTTTAGCAGAACTGTTGTAGCTGCTATTAAAACCGTTGTAGAACAAACGTTGTTACCGTTGTTAAAAAACCAGTAGAACAAAATTTTTGTGACTGATATTTTGTTCGACATGCACACTCTATGTTTATATACTCTTTGACAAAACTTATACAAATTTAAAAAAATATATATATATAACGAAATTTCTAAGAAATAAATATGTTAATACTTAATCGCTTACCTTCGCGCATAACTGCCGGTACAAGCATTTCTACCGATAATATTACCGGATTAGTCCGTCTTTCCTCACAGTCTGTTTCTAAAAACAAAACAAAAGAGAACATTATTATTAATATAAAAATGTTATATTAAAAGATTCATGTATATTCTTTCTCTAATCTAACAATTTAATATAAATTTTACCTGTATCATCAACACGTCTCCTATCATGCCTGCGGAACGTTATATTTTTGCTGGTCCTCAAACGTTCCAAATTCTCAATGCTTTCTATAATATAAATAATACATAATAATAATAAATAATAAATAATAATAATATGGACTAAATAAACATTAACAACTAGAATGAGAGGCATTAGTATAACTATTCCCTACAAATTTAAAATGAATTAAAAATAAAGATAAATAATAATAAAAAATAATAGATATAAGTTTTACCTTTATCATGAACACGTCTATTGTCGTTTCTTCGGAACGTTATATTTTCACTGCTCCGCAAACGTTCCAAATTTTCAGCCGACAATTTAAATCGTTCAATGCTTTCTATAATATAAATAGTATATAATAAGTACAGCCCAAAGCACAGAATATTATTATTGTTTATTACTTCAATTAAACTACTTTTGTTGTCGATCTATATCTAGGATCTATAACTACCGCAGAGCATACTACTAACTCTAGCAATTAAATTTTTTTCGTTATTTACTGGACTGAAGTTTTCAGGTTTTTCTTTATCATATTGATATATTTGATATAATTCAGAATTAATTTTTTCGATTTTATTAAGTAGTTCTCTTAAATTATTTACCTTTGATTTTTGCTCTCGTCCATTACCGTCATGTAGTTTTTCCTGGGCCGGAAATGAGTTGTTAATTTGATTTTAATCGCTTCCCACGTTGGCTTATATCCCATAAGTTGAACACATCTCTTTGCATCTCCTTGCAATTTCTCTGTGGTTACAATCATCAGTCCGAATTGTTGAAGTTCAGGATTATCCGAACATAGTAACATTGTATTTTCCACGCTTTCTAAAAATTCTTGAAGCGGATAAAAAATTTTTTTTTTTTTATTTGTTCAAATTTTTTATTTTATTTAGTTAAAAATTAGATTTTAAAAGTTCATAAAGAGTCGATTAGACTCGATTACCGACTGCGCCAATTATGTTTTTAAATATTAATAATAGAAACACACTTTATTTGTTTCTGTAAAATCATTGAAATTTATTCGAATGATTGAATCTTAAGACTGATTTTATTTACAACAGTGTTCTGTATTTATACAAAATTATCTTGAGACTAATTTTATTCTCAAGGTCCACACTGATCAACTCTCAAAAATAAACAAAAGATAAGGACAAAGGACAGAAGAAATCTCGTTAATCCATTCATGTGCGTCACTAATTAGATGACGAGGCATTTGGCTATTATTTTTTTTTTCCACAAGGGGAAACCTTACATAGACACTAGACGAAGAGTGTCTGGTAATGTGAGATTCTTACTCACTAAAACCTTCCTGGATTTTACACCTCGATTTGCGGGTAGCGTCACCCCAAAAATAGCTAAGAAGCAGATATTGCTACCCAATACCAGCGCAGACCAATGTGTTGTGGTTAAAGGTGGTAAAACCTGCAAACCAACCTATGATCACTCTTGTACTGATAACTGCTAGATCTTATTTCTTTATCATTTTTGAGTTAAGCAATGTATTCGCGGAACGTTTGGTCTATACGCCGCGCCAATTAAGAGTGATTCTACAACATTTAGCGTCCTCGGCACTGTATCTATGATGAAGAAGAGTTTTGAGGTCTTCCCTATCATATTTACGTACCTTATCCATATCGTGAACATTAAGATTCCATTCTTGCATGCCACAATGTCGGGTTTTACGGTAGTACCGTTTGGTAATTGAAAAGTTGACTCGATTGATATTAGTAAGTGTCTGTTTTCCAAATTACTTTTTATATGGTATTTTTAACCACGGCATCATGACGTGCAATTCTGGGACCATGCGTACGATGGCATTGCTGTAAGATGTGATTGAGGGTTTCAGGACATTGGCAGTCAGCTCTGCAGGTTCTATTCTATGCTGCCATACCGCTAGAAATTCTTGATCTAGATGGTAAAGCATTAATGCGTGGTCTTACAGAATTGAGATAGTCTTTCCCTTTCAGCAGCTTTGTCGGTTTGCGTATCCACCTGTTTGTTTGTGGTAGGTAGTGACAATCTGATAACCCTAAACCATCGATTGTTGTATGTAATTTACCAGTCTACATTTTATCGATATTGGTTTCCATTCATACGTAGTCGCTTTACGGTCTTTGAGACCTCAATTGCGACTAATGTGTTTGCTGTCACGCAAGAATCTAAACAAGGGGATTTTGAGATTTGATAATCTCTTTACGCGAAGTAGGGGAACGACCCATCGTAGAGCGGGTACACCCAAACCACCACTATTCACTGGAGTATGAAAGTAGGATATGACTGTATCTGACGGTAAACGAAGACACGTTCGCACTGTATTTCTGATGATGCCGTTAGTTTTATTTGGACAACTGTTTGTTATGTTACCTAGAGCAATCTTATGATACAATTGAGGTACCAGGATTGCTCTCAGTTTGTAGCCTGTTTAACTTAGAAATCAATTCATCCTTGGGCATGAACAATATTCTACCCTCTGGAGTAAATATTACCCCAAAATATCGCCATGTTTCTGATCTATTTAAAGACGGAATCGTGTGCTGACCGACAGTGAAAACTCTGTTGGTATTTACTATCGTAATTTTCCTTTTAGCGTTGGCTTCAATGCTAATGGTAAATCTCTTCGCTGTATTTATAGACATACCGCACTATTCCAGAAAAGAAGAAGAGCTGTCTATTAACAGTTGAAGCCCCACAGGTCTCCTACCAATTAAGATAAGATCATCTGCAAATGCCATAGCATTTAAGCAAAAATCACCAATGGTTGAGCCGACTTCTTTAGGCAGAGTTCCCAGGAGCTGGTTTACAACAATATTGAAAAGCAGAGGTGATTGAGGTTACAACAATATTAGAAAGCAAAGATGATAGAGAGTTGCCTTGTTTAACACATCTCTCTGGAACCAGGGTATTGTCGATCTAGCCTTTGCCTCACAGTACAGTTGTTGACTCTTAAAGCAGGGCACCAACAAACTCATCGAATTTTTTATTGAGCCCGTAGTAGTTGAGTACAACTTCAATGCTCTTGTGCGAGATGGAGTCAAAGGCTTTACTTACGTCAAGACTGGCATTGTGACAAGCTACATGACTTTGATGGTGGTCTCTTAGCAGCATGTCAAAAAGTGTTGTGTTGTCAGTACAGTCATCGGAAAGGATGAAGGCCCGTTGTTTGGAGTGGAATGGAAATTTATCCGGCAAGAACTTAATTAAGAAGTCTTGCTAGAATAGACGGGACAGTAATTGATCTGTATTCACTTGGATCGGAACTGTTTGCTTTTTTAGGAATGAATATTGTTCTCGAGTCCCTGTGGATGGTAGATAATTTCCCGCACCATATTATTGGACTAAGTACTGCCGCCAACGTGTCTTTTCTCATACCATGAAACGAACTCCACTCTTAACTAAGTCTTCCGCCCATGCGAGAATGCGCATTTCCTCTCCGATCTAATGAAATTTGGGCTGTTGTTGGGCAGTGACACGAGCTTGATGTGACACATTTGGATGTTTATTTTAGAGTTCTATGTTTCTTTTTAAATAATGATTTGTATAATTTAAACTTTAGTCTTAAAACTAAATTTTTTTTTCCCTAGGTCGTTGCTTTGAAAAAAAGTATTGAGTTATTAAATTATTTAAAATAAAATTAGGTTGAAAATTAATATTAAAACTAAATTAAAATTAAAATAAAATTAAAAATCACATTTAATTTAATCATATAAAATTTTTAATATTTTTAATTAAATAAAAATTAAGTAAAGTTAGCAGGTGTTGATGGAGTCCTCCTTTTTTAAATGTTTGTGGCCTTTGTTCAGCAGGAACTTATAAGCTGTTGGTTAGGGTGATCTTCTAACTTTAAAAGGTACTGACGGCTACATTGAGTAGCTTTTTCTATTACTGTTGGTACGACCAAGTCTTTAGGTTAGGTTAGGTTAGAGTGGCGGTCTTGTATACCAAGAAAGCCCACTTGGACTCAAAATAATGGCCCGTTGTGTTACAGCAGGTATAGCGTTGGTTCGTACATAGACAAGGTGATCAGTATACTTCCAACGCCGAAAAAGGCAACGACTTCGACATTTAGGTGAAGAAAAATTAACCCGACAATTATAAGAATCTGGTTAGGTCCCTAACATTGCAGGATGACAGCTCAGTCAGATCGGCCCCAAGATTTTTGATCTTGGCCTATCTAAAGATGGGCACTGACACATGAGATAGAAAACATGTTTCCTCCTCGTTTTCAGAGCCACAACCGCGATAAAGGTCTCAATGAAGATTAGTATTTTTTATAAACCACGGTTTGTACTTGGCATTGAAATAGTTATTATCATTCCAGTCGTAATTTAGTTCAATGTACGTTAATCTCGTTAGGCTGGTTCTCGCAGCGTATTCAAATTGTTTTCGCTTCAATTTGTAAGAGTTAATTTAGTTCTGTTGCCATATCCATTCAGTTTTTGAAAAATAGGGTTTATTGCTTAGAAATTACTTAGTAGATACTATTTTAGATGACTTTCCTTTAAATCTAGTATTCGATTTATATAGTTGAAATGCTGTCTAAGCGTGTTTATATATAACGACGGTAATCCAGTTTCCAAATGTATTATATAGTTCGGTGTGTTTATTGGTAAATTAAAGGCACGTTTAATATAATTCGTTTGTAATTTTTGTGATTCTTTATATCTCTGGACACCCCAAACTACTGCTGCATATGTTATTTAACTGCTATATGATTAAAACCTAAACATTTATAATATCTAAGTATTTGATTATGTTCGTATATAACGCAGAAATCCCATTCTTCGTTTAATCGTTTAATCGTCATTAATTTTTGTTAATAAATAACAATCCTAAAAAAATGACACTATATATATTCTGAATAATCAAAATCTTATTTTAGGGAATGATATATTTTCATAATTTAAAATAATATCATATATATTGAACACCACAAATCGACGTTTTAATTAAACAATTTAAATTATAATTAAAAATTAATTAATTTAAATTATAATTTTTATTAGGTTACTCTGGTCTTCTGACTGGAATGCAAATAAAAAATTTTATTTGTTATATTGTATAAAAAAATTAATTTATTACATTGTATTTTTTTATAAATCATTGAAATTTTTTTCTTCTATATGCAACAACTGCTCCATTCATATTGTGAATAATATTACAAATATTATAAATTAAATTATTTAAATTTTCAGCGTTTTCCATGCTGATTTATTTTCAGGTAGTATTGCACTTTCCACAGATGAAATTTAATGTCTTCTGTTTACAATTAAAATGTAAACACAGAAAAGCTCTAAAACCAGAACGTTTTGACACATAAAAGGTCTTTCCTATTCCTTAAGT